CACAGTGTAAGTTCGTTTAGTTATCGATTATATGTAAAATATGGAATTCATATTTTTTTCAATGATTTATTTAAGGATATATTTTATTGTTTTGTTATTATGTGAACCGGTTTGTACATAGCAACAGAACATTCTTATTTAACTAATTCAATATTCAAATTATCATTAACTGATAACTTCTGGTTTGTGTCCTGTTGTCTGTATTTTTACAACTAAAAATATTTTCTTTAAATGGTATTCTCGTCTTAATAATTTATTTGATCATATCTACTTAAAATTCTCAATGTTATAACAAAGTCAAACTAACAGAGTAGTTATTCCAATAACACGCTTAAAAAACCTAACAAAAAGTAAAAAACTTCAAATGAAGTCAAAATGGGGTATTGTGTTAGACAATAATATTGACCGCCCGATTTCAAAAATAAATCCTATATTATTTTTCACTTTGATAACCTTTTTAAATGTAAGATTGATTTTTCCAATATTTTCTATTTGATCTTTCTTAAAATCCATATACCTAACCACTGCATCGAGTTTAAAGAAACATATGTTGTTCCCTAATTTGAAAGCTAAGTAATCGAACAATAAAAGAATAATTGCGATCTAGATTTGTGAGAAATACGTGGATTAACAACAAACAAACATATTTAATATACATTTATAATATTTAGTACGCGTGTTGAGAAAACCATATACAGATGAATATTGTGTCATTCCATGAGCACCCAAACATAACATACAGGTCAAATTGAAAACTCTACTTTTTTAAAACTGTAAAAAAAAAACAATAATCTTTTCCTCAGTCTAGACTGCTTACAACCAATAAATGACTTTTACGAGCTAAGACCTTGTCTGTAATATATTGTTGAGGTTTTAATTTAATTCTCCTGGTTCATGGACACTATAAGTACTCATTAAAAAAATAGAGATGAAGGTTGGAATAAAACACAAGCGTGAGATTCAATTATTAGCAAAGCCTAAATTGCAGTTAGTTCTTTCTGTAAAATTTAGTATTAAAATGAGGCATCACTTTCTTTCTTGTCTGAGTTTATTTCGCCAGTTGTACTAAGAGGAGACTCCTAAATTTGGAACTGTTGGTAATGTACAAATGTTTCTACTGTAATTAATTTTTTGTTTTATATGTATTTAGAACGTGTCAGAGAAGTATTGTTTGAAAGCAGCTGTGCTTTTAATTATTTTATGACGTCCAACATCTCAGTCTAGTGAACATAAAACCTATGTAGGAACCTAAAAGTTAAAAAAATGTAATCATTATTAAAAATATAATTTTTATTTAGTTATTTAAGAAAACGAACAGTCCTTTACAATTTTGCTAATACAAGACAAATTATATGAAAATAGACCTAATTACAAAGTTCTGTTAATTACAAACTACGTCAATATGATACAATAATAACAATTTTGCTTAAATGTCAAGAATTTAAAATTACAATTTATGAAAATTAGATATTTCAAAATTTACAGAAGTCCAATATATTTCGAAATTTTATTTTGGGTGCTTCTTATAAATGTATTTTTGGCGTAATAAGAGGCGCCGAAGGATACGTGATATGTTTTACGTGAACGTGATGAGGTTCGTGGTGTGTCGGGTTCGATGCTTGGGCCAATGAATGAAAGGCTGACTAGCTTGAGAATGGATTTATATATGGTATAAAGGATAAAGTAAAGAAACTGTCACAAACAAAAAATGAATATAAAAAGAGTTCGTAAGTTACCTAAATATAAAATTAAAATTACCAAATAAAACGAAAACATACCCTTTTTTGGGTTTCTTAATAAAACATTTGGACGCTATTACAGGATATAATTTTATATATTCTATTCATAATTTTTATTTTAGACACTTATCTTCATAATTATAATATTAATATTCACAACAGATGAATTTTTTACGAACTTACATCCATAAAGAGTATATTTGATTAGTCAAAATTTTAAATTACGATAGATGAATAATAAAAAGAAATGATGTTGAATATCAAAGATAAAAAGTTGGCATACTGAAACCTAGGAAAAATAAACGGTGGTACGGCGCACCGTTACAGTGGGATACTCACTAAATATTTGTTAATAGATCATTACGAGTAATTAATCTAAACATAATCGTCTATCTTGGAAAGTCGTAAAATTATGATTTTTACTGCGATTTCATAATCAAAGAAGGATCTATTTATCTCTCTATCTATATCTTCATGCCGTATCCTTCGTGTAGCAATTATTCTGATTTTTTTCCAGTCTCAGATATATATTCTTCACATCACACATGAGAAATATAATGTTTTAGTGTCAAAGCTTTTTTAATGGTTACGAAAGACGTACAATTAGACCTAGCCGTCTTCCTTATAATGTTGTCTATGTCTAAATTAAAACGTAATTTAGAATCTAAGATGATGCCTAGATCACAAACGGAAGAAACGCGATTGAGTATTTGATTGGATAGATGATATGCAATAGTTATTTTTTGTCAACTATTGCATATAATTTTTGTTTGTGACAGTGTCCACTTTTTTCCGTGTTTAATATAAAATGGTTTTCCCCAGAGAATTATTGAAATGAATCCAAGTCATTCCAGTTGTGTTTTAATTATTCTGATTATTTTTGTGTCATCTGCATAACATCGCTAGAGAGAGATAATAAAGTACCGAACATGTCATATACATATACATAGAATAAAAAGGGACAGAGATGTTATCCCTGTGGTATTCCTCAAGAGAAATAGATGAGATAAAGCCGTCTAAAAAAGTAATTTAATTTAGCCATCTGGTTAAGAGGGCTGCCTGACAATAAATAAGAAAACATTTTATGATTTTTACCTGCGCATCTTAGACCGAATGCGCTTACTATCGCGCCACCGAAGTTAGTTATAGATTTATCAAGGCTTTATTTTAGAAGTCTTCTCTAATAACGTGAAAACCGAGCCCTGATTATGCGACAAGTCAACAAAGAAAACGATACTTTAAAAAATCTGGAAATTTTTATGTTCTTGAATGTATAATTAATTTAATCCACCGCCACGTGAGTAATTAATTAACAAGTGTGATTTAATATACCAGTTTGCGTGATGTTAAAATATAGGGGTCATTTTAATGAAAAACACAGCGCTTCAAAATAATTTTGTATTTTTATTTTTAAAAACTATATCTTGGAGACCAACTCTCCAATTTGAGCTTGGACAGCGTTCTCTCATAAAGACTCTTACTTAAATTTCTCTATTTTTTTGTCTTCAAATTTACAGAATACGCTTTTGCTATATGACTCTATACGGTACTAAGTAGCACGTTGCGGTCTTTTAGGTAATTTTGATGGTAGAACTCCGTTTATTTTATTCTAAAGTTGATGTCTTGTATATATTACCGTTATAAAATCATAGTTTTCTTTATTGTTTTATTTTTATGTGACTTTTACAATTGGACTTCATTGGATCAAAAAATAAAAAATAAAAAGTAGACCTTTCTGAATTTCTTTCCGGTTCTTTTCAATTCAAATCCAGACGCATGAAATAGTATTTCGACATTCACTAGTATTTTAAGCATCGCACCGTTTTATTACATCGCACCGTGAAATTAGCCAAAATTATTCCTTCAACCTTAGTCGAATCCCTTCCGGACCCAAGGCTCCCCCTGAGGACACCCCTGGGGGTGCCATGGGAACTTTAATTCGAACCCACGGCACTCCCAGTCTTCAAATCTATACAATAGTGTACAAGTGGTATCAAAAGTTCATTTTAGCAGTTCCCATGAAACCACCGAACGAAGAGTGATGGATTTATCACTGTTAATAAAAATAAATACTATGGTTTAATTTTAATATTTATTTAACGCAATTTTTCTAATGCATGTCCTAATGTAGAAATTGCAATAGAATTTGCACTAATAAATCATCATTATTAATGTCTGCTTGTTTCCGTTTTTAAGGCACTGCATTCAAATTGTGGATATTCTGCATTACATTTAGTAAACGCATCATGGTAACAGTAACGGTGTATGGCCTTCGGGCCGATCCCGTGCATTTTCATGCGAGGGAAATCGCTGGGTTTTAGTGGATATACCCCTGCTCTTTGACTGGCCCCACTCTAGAGCGGGTCCGCACGCGGGAGCACACATAACTCCGGTTAGCCGCGCTGGTAACCCAGGGTATGCAGGAATGCATTTCCCATCGTCAAAAAAAATCTCTAATGTGAAGCTAACGTGACCCACTTTACCTTCACATTAGAGATAAACATAAAATCATAATATACTACTAGGTAATATATGTAGATTATTACATTCAAGAGCACTGCACTAATTAAACTAGGGGTGCAACGGGCCCGAATTAAAGTTCCCATGGCACGCCCAGGGTTATCCTTCAGGGGAGCGTTGGGTCCGTAAGGGTCGAATCCAAACATAGAATCTCACGCGGTAATTTCTTGAGCATCCAATTTGAACTCAGTTACACAAATATAGCCTCCAGGTGATGGAATAATTTAATAAATATACCTTTTTTTATTTAATTATTTAATACTTTTTACAACTTACGCTATAAATAAAGTCTTAGTAAATCTATATAAAGCAATGGAGAATTGAATTTACAAAAAACATAATATATCTTTACATTGGTTATTTTGGGTCATATCTAGTATTTTTGCTCTCTTCCTCAATCTCATATCAATTTATGTGTTGACATTTGGGTACACACCTTTAGTACTGTATTAATTTATATTAAAATTATTTTTCATTTGAAGATGACTTCTGCACCAATATGGGGAACATTACATATTTTTGATACACTCATGATAATGGTATTATTACAGTGGCCTATATTGTCGAATTTAGCAAACTATGCCCAAATTAAGCAGTTTTAGTACTATATCTTCTTTAACATTAAGAGAATTTACATACAAAGTGTTTAATTAAAGAATCTAATACCCATTTATATACTTACAAGATTTTTTAAATTTAACTTAAGTTATATATACATTAAAGCGTTCATTACACTTAAAATTAATGACTGTTTGCAAGAAGATGTTCATAAATCTTTGGAAATATAAGGCTTTTTGTAAATCTACTATGGTGTACATCTAAATGGTTCCACAGGGGATCCTTTACTTCCACCACGTCGATCACGTTAGGCAGCTTCTTAGCTAACCATTTCACATCTTTAACGTCCACCAAACCATCGTTTCTACCATAAATAATCACTACAGGCGCACTCACAATACTCAACTTATACTTCGGAGGTTTCTCTTGACCATAGACTTTCATATTAGTCTGCCTCCCATAGTCGAATTTTACAAAATCAGAACTAATCATACTTTGACCATACTGTGCCAAAGTTTTCACAGATGTTCCAGCAGGTAAATGATTGTAAACGTTTGCAATTGTCTTGTTAGTAGCGGAGCCCGGATGATAAAAGTCTACGAAAGCCAATCCGACATCACAAAATACTTCAGTCATAGTGTTTAATTGGCAAAAAGTAGCCAACAATCTTTGCACTAGTGAACCTTTCCGTAATACTTCTTCAACACCAGCGGATCTGAGCCCTTTTTCTAAAAATGCAAACGCCATAGTCGAAAGGCGGAATCCAATAGATCTAGAGTTTAAATGTCTAGTTGCTGGTGCTAGACCAATCATAACGTTAATTTTATTAGAATATTCTGGTCTTTCAGAGCACATTATGAAGAAAGTCGCACACCCTTGTGAATATCCGATATAGTTTAGTTTTTGTACTCCAGTGTTATTCAAGATGTAGTCGACCAAAGCGGGAGCATCGTAATATCCCATTTGATCAACCGAAAATTGCCAAAATTTAGCATCTTTATTTGGGTCAAGGGTCATGTGTCTTCTAGAGTAGTAGTTACCTCTAAAGTTGCCTAACCAGAGGTCGAAGCAGGCATCAGATATAAGGTAAGCGAGACCTGCATTGGGACCGGAGTCCATCCACGAATCTGAGCTTTCCAGTAGACCATGCATTAACAGAACTGGTGTTATAAATTTACTATTCTGGCAGTTCTTCGCTTGCACTATTCTGAACATCCTCAAGATGTATCCGTCTTCAGTCACCACAAAATGTTCTTCTGATAAATATCCATTTTTCTTCATGAAGTCGAGGAACTGTTGTGAATGAGTCAAGGAAGTCCTTTTGGTTTTTCTTGTCGGAACACTTGTCGAGTATGTCACGAATGTTATTAATAAAATAGATATAATAATCCAAATGATTCGCACCGAAGCCATTTTGATAACTGTGGTCTTATTCAAAATCGCATCTTCTTTATAAAACGTGCTTTGGGGAATTTACGTCACGATCTTGTGACGTTTGAACAACAAGTTTTGGATTGTCTGATTACATATGCGACATTCCAATGTTCTTATTTATGTATTTATGCATTCTAAAAATAACGTTGTTTATTCTTTTGTTCATCACGATTGCAAGTTTAAGTGTGATGTATATAGAAAGTGGAGTTAAATATAGAACTTAGAATAAGGAAATTGCAATAACTCTGGAATATTTTTGATATTATTAAAGACTTTCCATAGGAACGACTGCTAATTGTATGTACGAGTAGGTGTCTATCGGCGAGTTGAGTATGTTGGTATAAATTTATCAATTAATTATTACCCAATTCGGATCAGATTCAGATCTTTGACTATTTTATTCTATATGTTTAATGACAAATGGCATTGTCAAAGCAAAATGGATCAAATATATTTTATAACATAAAACAAAACAAAGCGCTTCCCGCTGTCTGTAGGCTGAAATCTTTTAACTACACGACGGATTTTTAATTATTCAATTCATCAATAGACAGGGTGATTGAAGTGCAATGTTTTATGTATAATACAGATCCACGCGATCTGGCCAAGTGTTGATTTTTCCACATTCCTTTATATCTAGGGTAGGCAACTTTACTGGAATATTTATTTATAATATTTTTTTACTTCAGTTGGTGCTAACCCAATCTTTTGTATAAATTAACAATTCGATATATTATCACTTAGTTCAATCAATATCTCTAAAAAATATTTTTTATGATTTGAGTTGGTTTTTATCACGCCATAGCTCTTATAGCATCTCGATGAGAGACACTTTATTTTACTACCTAAAATAAAATGAAAATAATTTTGTTTTTTTTCGAACCTGCGGCTGCAGTAAACGTAATTAGGTTAAAAACATATAAGGTATCATTTGTCGAAAAATTTAAGGATTTTGAAGTCAATAAAAAGCTTTTAAATTATTAGATTTTGTTTTGAACAGACAAATATTTGATAAACAATTATTACAGCGTAATATTGTGGGCACATAATGCTTAACATTAACTTAGACAAGAACTTACCCATCATATATGCACAATTAATTGCTATAAGTGAGTAAATATTCGTAAATCTTTTGATACAGAAGTTTCTTAAAGAATCTACTGCAATGCACGTCCTGGTGGTTCCATAGGGGATCTTCTACTTGCACTAAATCAATCACGTTAGGTAGCTTTCCAACCAACCATTTAATATCCTTCTCATCCACTACACCATCATTTCTACCTACAATGATGACTATAGGAACATTAACGGCTTTCAAATTATATTTCGGGGGTTTTTCTTGACCATAAATCCGGAGATTCTCCTCTGTTCCATAATCGAATTTCATAAAATCTTCACTATTCAAACTTTGGCCATACTTGGCTAAGTTTTGGACTGATGTACCAGCAGGAATGTCACGAAAATATTTTGCAATTGTCTCCTTACTTACAGATCCAGGATGATATGAGTCGAAAGCGGAAAACACGAAATTACAAAATGCTTCAGGAAAGGGATGCGAATTGCAGACTTTTTCCATGAACTGTTGAACTGCAGAACCTTTTTGAAACACTTCCCTTACACCAAACAATTCATAAAGCTTTTGAAAAATAGCAAAATGGTAATTTCCAAAACGGAATATAAGAGACTTACTGTTTAGGAGTCTACTCGCAGGTGCCAGAGCAATCATGACCCTTACTTTTTTACTATACTCCGGTTTTTCGGAACACATTACGAAAAAAGTTGTACAGCCCTGTGAGTATCCGATATAGTGCAACTTGTTGACTCCGGTGCTGTTTAAGACATAGTCAACCATAGCGGGGATATCGTAAAGTCCCATTTCATCTGCTGAAAATTTCCAGAATGCAGCATCTTTATCAGGGTCAAGGGTCACGTGTCTTCTAGAGTAGTAGTTGCCTCTAATGTTGCCCAACCAGACGTCAAAGCAGTCATCAGATAAGAGATAGGCGAGACCAGCAGTTTCGGGACCAGTTTCTATCCACAAATCAGCGCTTTCCACTAGTCCATGCATTAATAGGACTGGAGTTTGAATTTTTTCTTTATGACACTTTTTTGCTTGCACTATTCTGAACATCCTTAAGATATACCCGTCTTCTGTCACCACAGAATGCTCCTCTGATAAATATCCATTTTTTGCTGTTGTGTATATGAATTTGAGAAATTTATCTGAAGGAATCGAGGGTGTTTTATTGGTATTGATTGAAGAACTGGTAGAGCTCGAGGCAAATATAAATAATAAAATTAAGAGTCGCGTTGCACGAGCTTTCACCGATGCCATTGTCATAACTACTGTTCGTTTTAGATAATAGTTTCTGTATAAAACAGCCTCTTATATACGTCACGTCATGTGTCCTAGAGACTAATTTATGTATGAGGGTATTGGAGTAATGAATTTTTTTTGTAATAAAAAACCTAAAATAATATTAAATATACGTCTGAATTATAATATTTTTAGGAGACTTGTGTTGAACTTAATTCTTAAAGATTCGTCTGCTGTTTTTCATCCAAGTGAGAAATAATCATTATATAAACCGGGCAATGACGATAATTTCCATTAATAAATGTTGATGTTTATATTCTTTTGCACGAGAAAAGGTTTATAGTTCTACTTTTTTAGATAAAGAAGTTTTTTTCAAAATTAGTCTTTCAACTTATTGTGGTTTTGCAAAATTTGAGGAATTAGACTTTTAGAATGCAGCTACGTATTTAAACTGAAATTAATTTTATTATTATATTCTAAAAGATTAGTCACTGATTTTAACAGGATTTTAAAATTTAGTACTAATATATTTTGAATAAGTCCAAAATTTTAAATGAAATAATCTAAATTTGAAGCTGTTGAAGCCGCTTTATTGTTTTCTTCTTCTTATTTATCTTTAGATTTCCCTATGAGTGCCACTAAAAGAATATCTGGTGTACTTTCGGGGGTCTGCTGTTCTGCGTCGCCGCCGCAGATGCTATAGCCTGTTACAAATACCAACTTTCAGTATGGAGATCAAACATTAAAACATAACAGGTGTTTTTTTATTATGAGGGTATCATATATTTCCTTTTTAATACTTATATGAATTAATCCATCGACATTTTCTTTCGGATTATTAGTAAAAAAATAAAATTCCTTTAATTTCTCAATGGCATGATAAGCAAGACATATAAAGTGACTTCTACGTATTTTCACGCGGTTACTAATGTTACTTCCATGAACTACATAAATATTGCTAATATTATATTTGGAAACACATATTTAAAGAAAAAGACGGACTTAAATATTAAAAAAAAAAGAAGTAATATTAACAATGAAATACGACTTCAATAGATATTACTATATTGTGTTAAGTATATTTTGTTTTGAATCCAATGAAAATTTCCATGGGAATATTGCATACCAATATTCCCGTGGAATATTGGTATATAACACGCAATATATGCAGCAGACTTTTGAGTTAAACACATATTCTACTACATATCATTAAAATCCACTCAGAAATACTTTAAATAAAAGTTTTATCATATTAAACTACTACTACTACAAAAAAAAGTAAAAAATAAAGTTTAATAAAAATCACTATTTCCTGTAAATTTTTTTGTTGGATTTCAGTAATTTTTATTGTCGCTATGATAAATAAAACCAAAATTTGTGAAAAATGTCGTGTTAGTAATTTTGATTTTTTGACATGATGTTTTTTTATACCTTCCGTAGCTAAAATGAGATAGATTCTTAAATATAGTCTCTTGTAATTGGCTCACAAACTTAATTAAAAATATTCCAGGCTTATTCCAGGCAAAAATGTATGACACGAAAACATGTTCAAATATCACGTTTAATTTTAACAAATAATTTTTACCTTTAATACATACTTAGTTTTATTAACCTATATATTTGTTTTATTTCCTCGCAAAAAGCATTGAAAAATGATGTAAGAAACTTGAGCGTAAAAGGTTTTTCGAATTCGTGCCAATGAAAACCCTCGCTACGCTCTTGTTTTCAATTTGGCCCTTGTTCGTAAAATCTTACTTTCCGCACTCGTATCTTAAATAACTATTATCAGCTTCAGCAATAATTGATTAGTATCAGGGACAACGTGGATTTTTTAAGCATTTTTCATTAAGAGCTCTTAATCTTAGATAAATTATATTTTATAGGTATCATAAAAAATTAAAAGATTTTCAATAAATGTCTAGTATAATTGTTTTGAGACTCAAAAAATAAATGATATATTGAAACAACTACAAATTAATAGTATAGAATTATCGAAAAGCTAACAATTTGACACAACACAACAGATTTTAATGCGGTTTTCCCGAATATAGAGAGTGATTGAAGAGGACGATTTATATGTATAAAATAAAATATGGGCGAAGCCGCTGACGGAAAGCTAGTTTGAAATAAAATACTCAAAAAGTTGTCAGTACTATACTAATGTTGTTCTACAATAAAACTATCTATGAAATTGAAAAAAAAAATGTGTTTATAATGTATGATGACTTTCAATATTTGCTAACACAACTAGACTTTAAAATTATAAATTAGTATTTAAAATACAAATAATAAAAGACATTTTTTTGGTGCAAAACTCATGTATTACCAACGAGCTGTTACAGAGAGAATTATATAAGACGCTTGAAGACGTTTTTCCGTTTTTTGACAAGACTAAGAAGTTCATATGATTTGAACAATACAAATTGTCTGTTGTAATTTATATATTTTTATATAACTGCATTTATTTGAGCATGTAATCCCCTTTGCCTAAATAAGAGATTATATAGTTTCATATTACACGTCTTCTCTTTCGTGAGACGAACTTTACGACAATCTCTCGATGTACAAGGATTAACAAACTCATGTTATTTCTATACGATAATAAATCTAAAGTAAGTATCTAGAATTAACACCAAATAATGTACTTGTGAATATCCATTCAGAAACATCATAAAATGCTACGAAGATAATGGTTGCGCGGTCAAACCAGGGCAAACATAACTTTGTGGCCTTCAAGATGTAATGGTATCGTCAGGGTAAGGTCGAGAGAATTGATGGCTGGTATGCTTATTGCTTTTGAAAGTATGTTGCTAATGAACATGAGTCTTCCTTATAATAAAAAGAAAAAATCAGTCAAGCGCGAGTCAGACTCGCGCATGAAGTGTACCGGAAACGTGTAAAAAATTATATTTAATTTTAATTTCATTATTTATTTTAAAAGTTGCTGTATCATTGCATATTCTGCTTATTCTATTACGAGTAATTTCATGTAACTTCTAAGTATTATAATGAAAGGTATTGGCGTTCTACGCTCGTTTTCAATGTAGACTTTATCAGTGCCTTTAACACTCTTCTATAAGATTGATTATAATAGTAGTTGACATTATCTGTTATATAAATGTTAACATTATATTGTAAATTTAAAAAATATATATTACTGTTGATTAAACATATACATTTTTCTTGAAATGCAATATGTTTATGATGTGTTGTAATGTAAATGTAAACTGACTTGTAGCTAGTATCTAGATATAATGTTTAATGTCTTATCATTAATCGTTACTTGATAAAGTGTATTTTCAAGGATAATTCTGTAGAAACCAATCTTCCGGCTTGATATATCTATTATTACTATCCTTAAAAACTTACGGATCTATCAAACAGGAAGTTCGGTTTCTGCAGAATCACCCCCCAAATATATAAAATGCGAGATTCCTACTAATATTATTTAGGAGAAAGTTCCTCTATCTGTAACACTTGTATGCCTAAACCACTGAAAAGGTTTTAATGAAATTTGATACAGGGTTTGTTGAAAATTTTTGTGGGAGTTCAAAATTTAAAGTAACTATACCAAGCAGAGAAGTCGCGAGGAAAAGCTGATGAGTTTAAATAAAATCTTATTCTTAACGTAACAAGATAGCAATGTATAATTTCCAACAATGTTACCCTTCAAATACACATAGTTGTTTTGGATTAAAAGCCTGCGGAATGATATGCTTTCTGTATCATATTTGATATGCTATTTGCTAGCTGTTCACCACCTCTGCCCTTAAATTCTGGAGTAGCATTTGCCAAGCTGAGAATCAATAATATACAAATATAAATGAAACAATTTAAATTTTAAGGTTCATAGTGTAAACAAAGGGCAATCAAAAGAATTGAATTCAATTGACAATTGAGACATTTGATAGTGGGAAAATAAAAACATTTAAGGTATGATTTGACGAAAGTTTAAAAGATTTTGCCGGCAATGTACAAAAAAGAAAATTTAATAACTTAAAAGCTTTTTTCTTTTGATTTATTAGATATTTTGTTATAATAATCATAATATTTTATTTGCGTTTGAATAGGGTATACCAAAGAGATGTAAAAAGTAATACAATTATCGCCTATTCAGCCATCAACAATAGCATGCAAATGTAGTAAAAGAAGTCACTATAAGCACTGATTAATACACCCTGTTCAGTTCTATAGTCCAATAACTCATGCAACGAAAAAAAGGAACGCTCAGCAAGCCAGTTATATAACTCTTTCTTAAATCTTGTAAGAGGTGTATTCTTTATAGATTCCGGAATCTTATTAAATATTGTTTGACACATACAGTAGCAGTGATTTTTAAATCGCGCGCTTTTTGGGACTATGTCAAGAACTAGCCTATTTTTATTTCTAGTGTTCCTGGGATACACTTCATGAGCTATTTTGTGATAATCAGGGTACCGTTTGGCAAATTTCGCTGCTTCAAATATATATAAGCAAGGAAGAGGTAGAATACCGAGAAATTTAAACCATTGCTTACATGAGACGTCGGGAGCGATACCACATATGGATCTTATGCATTTTTTCTGGGCAATAAATACTCTTTGCGCATCTGTACCATTGCCCCAAATAATAATTGCATAACGTAAAATTGTATGTGGAGTCAAATTTACGTTATGCAATTATTTGTAATTATAATTAATATGGTCATTAGTGTATTATTTATGTCGTTTCCGTGGTCAGAAATGTTCATATTATTATTAGTCGTCACTACCCCTGATATATCATCAGCAAATAACATACTTTTATGAGTAGTTACATTTGGTAGGTCATTTATTATTTTGATTTTTAGTCAATTCGTATTTTTTTTCTTCCATATTTGATCTTTCAACATCCAAACAATTTCTATGCAATTTACTGTTGTGCGATATTGAGGTAAAATCCGTGTTTTCTTCATCAGATAAGGATTGAAATGAGTTATTAGTTAATAAATTAATCTCCAAACTGGTGTAGACCAGCATTTGTCGCATTTCCATTTTGATTTGTTTTCATTGGTCATTAGGTAAAACCTCTATACACTTGTATAGTCCAAATGGTGAGGATCATTACAAGAAGCGCATTTAAAAAAAAAACTCTTTTGGTCATTGATTTATCACATGCGGCGCAGCATTGCTCCATCTTACGGCTGTTATAGTTCTATACCAAGCGGTTTCAAACTTTTTCATTATTTTTAATTTTTTGTGTTATTATTAATTTTTCAATAAAGTCAGTTTGCTAACACTATTAATTGTTTGTTTGTATTCCACTTATTAACACATCCTTTTTGATAATTTAGATACGTAGGCGGGATGATAAATAGCTAGCCCAACGCATATTTTGTATAATAACGATATAAAGTCTCCTTAGTATTTTACTCATTGGTTCATTAGCTGCCAGTGTTCCAAATTTAAAATCAATCGTATAGTATTTTTTATAAAATATTGACATTTCAAAAAGCATTCTTTTGTTTTTTCTGCAAAATGAATAAAATTGAGCTACGCTCTGTGATAAAGTTTTTGCATTTAAAAGGATTAAAAGGTGGAGAGATTTTTTCGGAGACGAAGGATGTTTTGGGAAAAAATGCTCCTTCATATGCGACCATAAAAAATAGGGTTGCTGAATTTAAAAACGTGGCCGTACCAGCACCCAAGATGAATATCGTCCAGGACGTCCAAAAAGTGTCACTACTCCAGAAATTGTGATCAAAATTCATGATGCAGTTTTAGCAGACTGAAGATTGAAACTTTCCAAGATAGCTGATACTGTAGGCATCTCTAAATAATGGGCGCATTACAGTTTGACTCAAGAATTATGTATGAAAAAATTATCCGCAAGGTGGGTGCTGCGATTGCTTACAGTTGACCAAAAACGCGTTCGTATACAAATTTCACAAGAACGTTTGGACCGCTTTAAGAGCGGTTTGTTACTACAGAGGAGACTTGGGTTCACCACTATATACCTGAATGAAAAATTCAGTCTAAACAATGGACGGAAAAAGGATCCCCGGCTCCAAAGAAAGCAAAAGTCGTGAAATCAGCGGGAAAAGTCATGGCGTCATTATTTTGGGATTCGAAGGATATATTGATGATTGATTACCTTCCAAAAGGACAAAACATAAACTGGATAAATAACAAGTGTGTATTCGTGAAAAAATACCCGGCCTGGCTAAAAAAAATCTTTCATCAGGATAATGCGCGCGTTCACACGTGCATCACTACGATGGCGAAATTCAAAGTATTAAATTATTGATTTGCTACCACACCCAGCTTATTCTCCTGATCTGGCACCATTTGACTTTCATCTATTCCCTAAGCTCAAAAATTTTTTAGGTGGACAAAGATTTGAAAATAATAGCGAGGTGATGTCTGCTGTGGACAGTTATTGAAAGGCTTGAAGAAAACCACTTCAGGGATGGCATCAAGGCTTTAGAGCATAGATGGATGAAGTGCATAGCGCTTCAAGGAGACTATGTCGAAAAATAAATATACTTTTAACACTCTAATTCAAGTTTTTCTATGCTAGGCTAGCTATTTATCATCCCACCCTCGTAATCATATGCTAATAATAACAGCGTTATACTGTGAGCACATAATGCTTTACATTAACTTACACTAGAACTTACCCATATATGCGCAATTAATTGCTATAAGTAAGTAAATATTCGTAAATCTTTTGATACAGAAGTTTTTTAAAAAATCTACTGTAATGCACGTCCTGGTGGTTCCATAGGGGATCTTCCACTTGCACTAAGTCAATTATGTTAGGTAGCCTTCCAACCAACCATTTAATATCCTTCCCATCCACTATACCATCATTTCTACCTACAATGATGACTATAGGAACATTCACGGCTTTCAAATTATATTTCGGTGGTTTTTCTTGACCATAAATCCGGAGATTCTCCTCTGTTCCATAATCGAATTTCATAAAATCTTCACTATTCAAACTTTGGCCACACTTGGCTAAGTTTTGGATTGATGTACCAGCAGGAACGTCACGAAAATATTTTGCGATTGTCTCGTTAGTTACAGATCCAGGATGATATGAGTCGAAAGAGGAAAACACGAAATTACAAAATGCTTCAGGAAAGGGATGCGAATTGCAGACTTTTTCCATGAACTGTTGAGGTGGAGAATTTTTTTGTAAAAGTTCCCTTACACCAAACAATTCATAAAGCTTTTGAAAAATAGCAAAATGATAGTTTACAAAACGGAATATAAGAGACTTGCTGTTTAGGAGTCTACTCGCAGGTGCCAGAGCAATCATGACCCTTACTTTTTTACTATACTCCGGTTTTTCGGAACACATTATGAAGAAAATTGTACAGCCCTGTGAGTATCCGATATAGTGCAACTTGTTGACTCCGGTGCTGTTTAAGACATAGTCAACCATAGCGGGGATATCGTAACGTCCCATTTCATCTGTTGAAAATTTCCAGAATGCAGCATCTTTATCAGGGTCAAGGGTCACGTGTCTTCTAGAGTAGTAGTTGCCTCTAATGTTGCCCAACCAGACGTCAAAGCAGTCATCAGATAAGAGATAGGCGAGACCAGCAGCTTCGGGACCAGTTTCTACCCACGCATCAGAGCTTTCCACTAGACCATGCATTAATAGGACTGGAGTTTGATTTTTTTCTTTATGACACTTTTTTGCTTGCACTATTCTGAACATCCTTAAGATGTACCCGTCTTCTGTCACCACAGAATGCTCCTCTGATAAATATCCATTTTTTGCTGTTGTGTATATGAATTTGAGAAATTTATCTGAAGGAATCGAGGGTGTTTTATTGGTATTTATTGAAGAACTGGTAGAGCTCGAGGCAAATATAAATAATAAAAGTAAGAGTCGCGTTGCACGAGCTTCCACCGATGCCATTGTCATAACTACTGTTCGTTTTAGATCACAGCTTCTGTATAAAACGACCTCTAATATACGTCAAGTCATGTGTCGTAGAGACTTATATATGTATCGTGGTATTGGAGTAGTGTTATTTTTTGCAATAAAAAAACCTAAAATAATATTAACTATACGCCTAAATCATAATAATTTTTATCTAAATCTAAAAAGATCCAAAACTTTAAATGGAATAATCTAGCTTTGAAGCGGCTGAATGGAGTAATCGGATTTTGATTCACACTAAAGTGAAATAATCTTGTTTTGCTGAAACTAATTACTCACAGAAAAATGTGGGATTTAAAAAAAAAATGGTTAATAATTTCTGGAATAATCATATTTGGTTCCGATTTAACTAAGCTTAGTTTGAAATTCAACGCTTCTTATAAAAAATATTATATATCGAAGAAGGAATGAAGGAAGCATGAAGTTCAAATTTTGAAAATAACTTCTTCAAATATAAACTTCCTTTTTCTCAATTTACAGTTGGGTTAATCAATAACAGACTCTAAAGCTGATCTATCTAACTGGATTTTATTTTACATATAAAATACTGATACATAGACTGCAATGCTGTTATTAGATTTTAGGCTATAGAATTACCCCTTTTTTTTATTTAGCGTTATGTGACAAATTGGGAATAAAATTACTGTCTCAAAAAACGTTCATTATACAATAGATTCCTTATGTTTTCAATGTTTAGAAGTAAATAATAATATACAATCTCCGATATCATTGTCTTATATCGGTCGCTGCCGTGTAAGAAATGAATAATATTAATTTTTCATTATCCTTTTATCGTTCCTTTTATTAATTGAATTAGTACTACAAAACGTACCTTTGTAGTTAAATGTAAATTGAATATATTATGTGTAACGTCTTGTGTTGGCGGTTGTTTGGTATAAGTTTAGCGGTAGGTAGATTGAATACAACCTTTATTAATTTGGCGTAGGGTAGTTAAGTAAAAAATATGATATAGTTGGCATCGGTTGGTCGCCGCTTACAGATATTAATATATTCGGTATTTGTAACAATAATTTAGTAAATTGCGGTGTTGTAGATATTACACATATTTATTTGTTTTTACTCATCAATATATATGAAGAAGTGAACTATTATACACGTGATTTGTGAAAGAAGAGAAGCTAAGGGGCCCCTTACCAGCTACGGAACCAGTGCCATACATGGACTCCAGGTTTTTAAGTGTGATTAATATTTATTATATATAATTCTTTACGTTAAGCATATTTTTCCACTGAGCGTAATCTCTAATGAAACATTTCTGGTAGCAGAGCGTGGTTAGGGATCCGGTCTTCGGTAGGTTATATATTACGTTCCGGCGAAAATGTGGCATCGCGATATTACCATAGCTTAGTTATAAAAACGGATAGTTTCAATACGTAATGGGATCGGTTTAGTTACATAAGTAAATGCTTCGGTGACTTATGATTATTATTTTTTGTATGTGTTACAATAGCTTGCCATCTTATAGTTATTTTCTTATAATAAAAAGGGGTTCCGCTCGGACGGGCATCGTGTAAAAATTTACTTAACATTATGTACTTAACGGCTGACTAATATATTACAATTCGGTTTTGTAACAATTTTACGGAATTTAATTCATATTGAAAGTAATATTGATTATTCGATTTGTTGTTGTTGACATAGTTTAAAATAAATTGTCACTAAGGGGTTACTGGGCACAATTTAAATTAAAATTGCAATGGTTAATTGACAGTGCGGACTTAACAAATAGGCCGGAGCACATAAATAGATTAAGCATACGATTAATGACCGTTAATACGGAATTTTCATTTTTCGAAAAGGCTTATCAGAAAATAATTGAACTTGCTGATACAAGTATTTCGTCAGAAGCAGAAATAGTAATTGCGGCTCGTCAAGAGTATGTTCGAGGTTTAGAAGCCTTTGATAAACTTTTGATCGTGAAATTAGATGCTGACAAAGAGTCGACTTCAACATCTGAAACGAAACCGGATACTAATAAAGTAGATTCGGATACTTTGATTTCTCGTTTACCAACACTTCGGTTACCAACATTCTCGGGAGAAATGGACCAATGGGTGGGATTTAATAACCTTTTCGATAGTTTGGTAGACTCTCGCAGTGACCTATCACCGTCACAAAAATTAGCTTATCTTATGTCATGTTTAACTGGGGAGGCTCGTGGCTTAGTATAACATATTAGAATCTCGGATGAAGGTTATTGTACGGCTAAAGATTTACTCATAAAGAGGTATCAAAATACCCGACATTTAGCAGATGTTCATGTTGATTAAATAATGAAATTGCCCTTTATTTCACAGCGGCTTAATGGTTTACGATCACAATTTCTTAACCCATTAATAATGGCAGTAAATTCTTTAGAGCGACTAGGATTCCCGATTTCACAGTGGTCATTTTTACTATTGCATATTGTTCTTGTTAAATTACCTAACGTTCTTAAAACTCGGTTTGAACAAAAATATGTGGTAGAATCAGACATCGTACCTACCTTTTCAAATTTGGTTGAGTTTTTGGAAGCAGAATGTAGGCTTTTGGAATGTACAAATACGGAGTCAGCGGCTATACACACAGATGTGTCAAAATTGGCATCACGCCCCCCACGTAGAGGAATTCAATATACGGCTGTGGTGACTGACCAGGTGTGTTCATGCTGTGGTGATAACACACATTTGGCGTTAATGAAATGCCCTCGGTTTAAATCTTTGTCACCATTCGGGCGTAAGGATTTTACACAAAGGAATCGGCTTTGTTACTTTTGTCTTGGTAATCATAGCTATAAGGATTGCCGAAGCACTCCCAATTGTGATGGCTGTGGAAGTAGAAAACATCACCCAATGTTATGTTTCAATCGTTCGGGTACGGCTCAACAACCTAACGATAACCACGGTTCTATGCGACGGTCACCACCGCGTACGGGCGGGGGCTATTCACCACGATCTGGCAGATATCAGGGTGGTTCCCCTCCATCTTCTCCTCCACGTTATGGACATAGATCACCTGCCCCAAACAATCAACGTTACAATTCGGACGGACGTAGGCGCGTTCATTCGGTCAATAAGCATTTCCAGAGCGAGCGGTCTAACAACTGGAACCAACAGCTAAACGGACAACATCAAGATGTTCGGAATGATAATCGCCATAGCGATGGTAGTAGAGATCGCGAATAGGATACGGCTTTTATTCCCCGCTTAAATTCACTTGTATTACAACGTACTATTTTGTTACCTACGGCCATGGTTAAAGTTTTTATTAATTCGGAAACGGTTTCTTCTAATTATCATACGGTTAGAGCTTTACTCGATGCGGGGTCCGAAGGATCTCTGATTTCTATTGGTCTTGCGCAAAGGCTCGGGTTAACATTTCAACCCTTAAATGAACGAGTAAGAGGGATAGGGGGTTGTGAAGTAACAAAAACTTTTGGCAGATCAATGGTTACGTTTGCTCCTATCAATTCACATTATCCAGTTATTACTACTCCGGTAATATGTTTATCGGATTTAGTTGGTGATCAGCCAGCCTTTGAGTTATCGGAATCAATAGCTGATCTGGCTATCGGCTTAGATCTAGCGGACCCAGAATTTTATAAATCAAAGCCTGTTGAGTTACTTCTTGGTTCGGACGTTTTCGGATCACTGGTAGGCGGGGATAAAATTGAATTAAATAAAATTGGTTTCACAGCATATCGATCTGTTTTCGGTTTCGTACTTCTGGGACCTGTAGAAAGCACGAAACCGTCTTCGTGTTTTACTACGGAAAATATTGATTATTTCGGAGTGTCGCTTTTGCAACAATTGCAAAAATTTTGGGAGCTAGAAGAGCCTCCGTCGGTTTCCTTAAAAACTCCTCAAGATGAAGAGTGTGAAAAATTTTATAAGGATAATACGGTTCGGTTAGAAAGCGGTAAATTTATGACTCGGTTACCCTTTCTTTCATCTCGGTCACTACTTGGGCAATCTCGTCCTATTGCGGAAAGGCAGTTTCTAGCAACGGAAAGGCGTTTGATAAAAAATTCGGCTCTTAAAACCAAATATGTTCAGTTCATGCGTGAATATTTAATTCTGGGACATATGTCGATTTCGAAATTCGATCTTAATTCAGGTGAAGAGCATTATTATATACCTCACCACGGAGTGTTCAAAAGGTCTGATAATTCTAAAATTCGGGTAGTTTTCAATGGCAGTTGCCCATCATCTTCGGGTGTTTCTTTAAACGAGTGTTTACATTCTGGACCCAAACTTCAGGGAGATATAACTTTAATTCTTTTAAATTTTCGGCGTCATCATACGGTTTTGGTTACGGATATTCGAATGATGTTTCGGCAGACACTTATTTCTCCTTCCGATCGCAAGTATCAGCTTATTTTGTGGCGGGAGTCTCCGGACGAGTCTCTTCTCACTTACGAATTAAATACCAATACATATGGTTTAAAATCGAGTCCATATATAGCCATTAGGACATTGTTGGAGTTGGCAGCGCAGGAACGTCAACGGTTCCCGCTTGCGGCAGATGTTTTAGAACAAGACATTTTTGTTGATGACATTTTGACTGGAGCTGGATCGGTAGCTGAGGCTTTTAAGCTCCAAAAGGATCTTATAGGTATAATGGCAACTGGTGGTTATGAACTTCGGAAGTGGCTTTCCAATAGTCCACAACTTTTAAAAAACTTACCAGATGAGTATAAACAGGATCCTTTGTTATTTGAGGATGCGGATCATCCTCACTCGGTTTCGGTTCTGGGTGTTCTTTATGATCCTCAAATAGATGTTTTTTCATATAAGGTAAATGACACATTTGACTATTTGGTTACGAAGAGAAGCATTCTCTCTACAGTCGCTCGCATGTATGATCCAAACGGTTGGATATCACCTGTGTTGTTTTGGGCTAAGTGCCTACTTCAGCGGCTCTGGATAAAAGGTTTAGATTGGGATGATCCCCTTGATATAAACTTGGCCAATGAGTGGTCT